CGCCAAAACTAAGACCAAGCCACTGAATAAACCTAAGCTTCCATCTTCTCGGTCACGAATGAAGATAGTTCTCAACAGACTTTATGAGCTGGAGAAAGTGATAAAGGAAAATCCATCATCTCGTAAGCCACCAATCAGAGAGCGCATTCAACCATCGCGTAACCGTTGTCTCCTAAGAGGTCATCAGTTTAATCTAGTCACGCAATACAGCCGCCTGGAATGTCGGCGACACTTTTTCTCCCTTCGAGTGTCACAGCCTTGGAACGCCCTCCCGGAAGATGTAATTAATGCACCCACCCTACCCCTTTACAAAAATACGCCTTGACGAAACTCTGTCACATTTACACTGCGTGCTATAGCCCATGACCACCAGATGCTGGCACTAATGCACAACAGACAGTGGATAGTGCCATAACCCTACTCGAGAATGAGTCGCTCCAAACCCCTTGCACTAAATTTGATAAACGCTACTGCTGTGGAAACTGGATTTCTGTATCCCGTCGACCCAAGATAGCTGCATACGAGTAAGCGTTGTCCTTGCTATTGTTTAATATTTTTCTCGCCTATTACATGATCAATAACCAATCCGCTTATGGTTTTGTGTGCGCCCATTCTAATTTCCAATCCTTTATACGGTAGTGTATTTAAATCTGTAATCGCCCGAACCGACGATTCCATTATCCCTTGATCTATCTTTTCTCACTCTAAGCACCCTACGCGACATGCCAGGCACCTGCTATCTTACACGCCATAAATCATTGTTCAATCGTTGTTCATTGTTCAGCTTGAACGCGGCCGAATCGAACAAGGCTACCTCAGCGGGGAGAATGTTGGCTGATCAAATACTGCTCGAGCGAAGGATTTTTCTACTGTTTGATGCAGGCGCACGAGGAATAAACATTGCCTCTGCATTGCGTCTCCGTAAGAAGCAGGAGAACTCCTCCAAGGTTCGTCTCATCAAGATTGTATGAGGAAACGAAGAAGAGTGCGGGCGCATCCTGCGACGGACTCCGCGTCTCAAGAGTGAACTGTTCTACGTGTTACGAGACCTTTCTCCCGAGGACTGAATTACACTGAAGAAGGCTGTAGAGAAGCTTTAAAGCGCCGTGCGAGTGATGAAACCGACCTGCATATGGTGGGTTTTTGCGTCGTTTGGAAGACCACAAGGGCCAAATGGAGACCGGTCTTCTTCATCTCCAAACAGTAAATCATAAAAGCGGATACTCATGCTAGCTACCAAGCTGCACTGTCTAAGGAAAAAGCTGGATAAACTTTAGTTTTTCACTTCGGAGACTCCTCCAGGCTTGATGACCTTCACCGAAACCTGGCTATTTTCAGATATCATGAACTCGGAAGTGTCTATCCCTAGATAATAGCTCCCCCGGTCTGATCGCCACACAGTGAGGTCAGGTGGTGGAGTAATTCTCTACCAGAAGACATACCTCAAAGCACATTTAGTTGAAGCCATCAGTGACCATGATGATAATTGCGAAGCCCTCTGGTGCCGTGTTCATGACAGATGCAGATCTCACTTGGTCGGTGTCGTCTACAGAGCGCCATCGGGCTCCGGAGTGCGCTTGTTGGACTCGATAAGGATGCACGCTGGACGCAAGCACGGTTTACTCTTGGGGACTTCAGTGCACCGAATGTCCATTGGGACCTACTCTTTTGTGATGGCCGATCAGACTCTTTCGATGCCACATTGCTTAAAACCGCTCACGAATGCATCCTCCTTCAACAAGGCTTGACGCTTACTTGTAGGTTCCCAAACCAGACTCCGCACATCCTAGATCTCGTGCTCACCCCTGCAGATTCGGATGTCACGAAATTAACCGTTCTTTAAAACATAGGCAAGAACAGTTATTGTGCTGTTTCATTCCGCTGGGCTCGCCGCCTCACGATCCATAGCCACATTGGTCACCGACAGAATTTTTGGCCGGCCGATCCCCTTCGTCTGAAAACGGCCGCAAGCGCTACGGATTAGGGTATCTCTGTTCACATTCACTTCGATGACTCGTGGAACCTTGTCCTCTCCATAATGATATCTCTAAATGAGCAAGTCCTTCCTTCCTCCCATCGAAAGCCCTTCACTAGAGGTCCACTTTGGATGGATCTGGAATTGAGGTCAACTACGTATAGAAGGCGCAAATTATGAGACCGCTTTATTTGACCTTAATAAGCACCCGACTTCTCTCACGACAAGACTGTCTGACATGTTTTGTCATGATGAAGCGTCAGAAAGGCCAACAATACGTACTATCCTTGTTACAACACTCCAGAATTGTGCCTAAAATGCTCTACTTTCCTTTAAAAAGTAGCACTAAAGCAGGTAATGGCATCCCTGCCTTGTGTTCCTGTGGTCATCAGCCCTTACTTCACGAGGACACTGAGGAAGCTAGTCAATTGGCTAAGCAATATGCTTCTATTTACGCGAAGTAACACCACTTAGTGACGGAGCCGTATCCACCTTTTCATCTTCGTTGGCCCAAGTAGCTAATAACACTGGTTCTGTTATGAAACTTCTTCTTGAGTTAGCTCCGTGCAACTCACCCGGCCTTGATGGATTGTCGCCTTTGTTCCTCAGGACTGTGGCGCAGTACATAGTTTCACCCATAGGTCAAGTCTTTCGTAGTTCACCAGAAGCTGGCCGTCTCCCGTCAGCTTGGAAAGTGAGTATCGTCAAACTCATCTACAAAGGAGGAAGTCGACATGATCCAGCCAATTATTGTCCAATTTGTTTGACTTCAATAGTGTGTACGGTTAAGGAACGGATCCTAAAACAGGTTGTTAATCTTCAGCTTGGTGGACAGAATGTCAATTCTTATACCCAGCATGGGTTCCGAAAAGCACGCTCCTGTACCTCGAAATTGCTCGTTGCTAAGGAGACCTGGGTAAGGGCGCTAGACTCCGGCAAACGCTTGGACCTTGTGTTCGCGGACTTCAACCAAGCATTTAATAAAGTCCCACATGAACGCCTTCTGTTTAAACGCAAAGAAATCGCTACTCCTTTGCACCTTCTGTCTTGGATCTCCGACTTCCTGAACCACAACCCTATGCAAATGAAGGTGAGTGACACATTTTCTGCTCCTGTTCTCATGACGACTGGGGTTCCACAGAGCTGCGTCCTTGGTCCCGTACTTCTCAATTTCATCATAAACGACTAACCGTCCACTCTTCAGACGGACTGCCTATTCTACGCTGGTTATCTAAAGCTGTAGATGGAAGTATCAAGCCCTGAAGACGCTGACAGATTACAATCTACGCTCGATCTACTTCATGATTGGTCGATTAAGTATTATTTGCCCGTCAACCGTGATAAATGCTCTGTTCTCTCTGTTGACTCATCTAACCCATTTGGAACATACCACCTTGGTGGTTGCTTGCTCTGAAGCGCAACTCAAGGGAGGGATCTTGGAACGATAGTCTCATCAGAACTCGAACCTATTCAAGACACCCAGAAGAGGGTCAACGCGGCCTACAGGATGTTCCATTCTATCCGTAGAGGGTTTTGCTCCTGATCGCTGGACTTTTCCGACTCCTCTTTGGCTCGCATGTACGCCTGATTCTCGAATACGGGCTACCCACTGCCTGTCCTCTCACCGAATCCCAATGTGATATAACAGAGAAGGTTTAACGGCGTGGATCCAAATCCGTCCCTGAGTTGAGAGACCTGTGTTATCCCCTCCGACTTCAACGACGGAACTTCTTCTCTCTAGGTTACCCCCTATTTGTTGTCCTTAGAGAAGACATCATTGCGTCTTTTCACCACCTGTGCAGTCACCTCAGGATCGGCAGCTGTGACGACGCCGTCCAACTTGCCATGAGGTGTAAGTGAGGCGCACTCTCCATCGAACTCCGACTCTTACTAGATGGTTGTCCAGCCGCCTATGAAGTACCACTTTTGTCTTTCAGCCCCCTCGGTCTATTACGACCCATGTACGCCTTGAATACAGAAGCCCTCGGAACCCTCAACCATACGCATACTACAGATAGCACTGAATAAGTTGCTTTGGCCTGTGCACGTACTATGCATGCCTGGTCATCGCTTACCGAGTCGGGCTATGTTTTGTTTACGTTCGAGATGGGCAAACTTTAGCTTGGTAATGGGAAATGAAGTCATTAAACACCAAACCGTGTGCTGTTGGTCCGTCTCGCCTTCCAGGCCGGAGTCCACCTGATCCGCTCTGTGTTTAGATTGAGAGGTTACAAGGCATGGCTCGTAGTCGGTATCCTTGATGCATCTGCCGGCGTCTCCCAGTCGGAAAGCATATAAAGTGGTTGGTGCTGTTGTTTTCTGGGTAATGACTGATTATGATGTGGAGCATGGAAAGCCGAAAGGAAGCTGTCTCACTTATGCCGCCTACTCCTTTTATGACCGTTGGCTGTTTGTGATGTTATGTTGACAAGGTCTTGGCGCTGAGTATTTGTTTAGGGCATTAAGATTTACGCTATGTCCCTTTCTCTCTCCCCCCCCCTATTATTCTTCGTTCCGTTGGTCATTGTTGTTTTGCAGCAGGAAGCATCAGTTTGAACGGCTGATGTATTGTCGTTTCTGCTGTTCATGATGATGATGGCAGCAGTTGTTTCGGTTATAATCTCCGTTTGCCATTGCTAGGTATCAACTACGCCGTCTTCCGATGACGAAGGTAATCTTGCTACAAGTACCTAGCTTACAAATTGCTCTCACTTCTGGCTAGAGCCTGTAAAAGCGCTTCCACTGGATGCCTCTCTCTTTCTTCTGGTCACTTACAGTCGTGCGGGGTCTGTGTTCGGCAAGGTAAGACATTGGGTGAATAAGTCTGCATCCACTCTCCAGGAGAACCGAACCTTTCGTTTCGAATACGAAGTGCGACTAGCCGAAGTCCTTACGACAAAGGTGGCGGCGGTTGAGACATATCCTATCCTGGTCTCCACTGTTTCAAATCTCTTGCAAGCTACTGAGTCACTAGACCATGGTATTCGTCAGTGGCGTATCATTTATCAGTGGTACTGAATTAACTATGATGGAACCTAGTGCCCTGACGATTTTCCCACGTTTTTATGGGGGAGAGGAGGTCGTTGACTTTCGGAAGTCTGACGACGTTTTCTCCCTGCCATATGGAGTGGAAGCTGTCAGTCATTGATAACAAATCTTTCAGTGCGGTTTTGTAGATCGTGGAATCAAGCTGCCGGTTAGTGATCTTGAAACTGAGCGCTCCACTGAGGCCCGAAGAGTATTTACCAAGTTGGTGCATTCCAGATATAATCTTATGTCTATATTTTATCAGAGACCCGGTTGGCGCAGTTACTGAACGACTCGTGCTGATATTTTTGTACTTTATTTCATTTAATTCCACCGCAACGAGACCGGACCTTGACGTGTTGCAACGGTTTGCGTACCTCATTGATCTAAACTAGGTGGTGCCTCCGCGCCCCTTGCGAGTTACTCCTACCAGGTTGGTCAATGGTTAGAGGTCAGACAAACTCAGTCTCCTGGTCCTCCAGGTTAGGGGTTTGAAATAGGATGGCGTCCATTTCTGTGAAACTAAATCATTGTCACCTCCCCGCTGCGTTGCGAACAGGCTTTTGAGCCAAAGGCTTTAGTTGAGGACCGTAATTGTCCTCCTGTCTAAGTCTGGGCGCCCTGGCAGTATCTCACCCCACATACAACCATGACAATTTCCCCAAACTCGAGCTACATCCTGCATCGGCCGTTGCACCATGTATCAAGGGTCGCCTTATCTGCTGCATACAGAAGGGCGTACAGGCGAAAACGTGCTACTGCTGGCGCCTCCTTTCTTTTCCACCTTTTTCTCTTACTCCCATCCCGACTCCCATTACTAACCTTTCTTCTGTAATTCCTAGCTTAATCGATAGCAACCGAACTGCCACTGGAGTAGAACCATCTGCAGCCACTTTCCCGCAACACCCACCGGGCGCCTATCGGCAACAGTCCCTTATAAGGCCATCCTGTCCCGGTTTCCTGGCGGCGTTCAACTTTTGCACCCTAAGACAAATCAGTCAACAGGCTGCATTCGCACGCGTGTTGGACACACCGGGTATTGATGTGTGTTGTGTGTCCGAAACTAGGATCTATGACCCTAATGGGGTTGTTGTATTAACTGCACTTGGCTTGCTTGCACGCATCTGACGACACTGATGCAGCACTCATGGGTCAAGCTGGTGTAGGTATCATTCTCAGCTCCAAGGCTGAGTCATCGTTGGTTGATTGGATTCCGGTGAACAGCCATTTGTGTGCAGCCCCTTCGACGACATCAACTAAGGTTGGTTCATGAAGTAGTACAAACGCTGTTTGTTTATGATTTCTGCTTATGCTCCCACCGATTGCAGTTCAAATCCTGTCAAGGACACATTCTATCGCGAACTGAACGCGCTACGACGATGTGCTACTAGTTTAGGTAGTATAGTATTTGTAGGGGATATGAATGCACAAGTAGGGCGTATGAGCTCTTCAGAATCTCAGCTGGGTGGTAATTATGGGATTAACTCCGAACAGACTGACAATGGCGAGCGTCTGCTGCAAGTGCGTGCGTGGCACTGGTTGTTTCTTAGTAGCACTGCTTTTAGATAGTGTTGCCGAAGTGTCACTTGGCGTCCACCTGTAGCTGGCCAGCGATGGACCCAAATTGACCACATAACCATGAGTTTTTCAGGTGGCGTGGTCCCATGCTGGATTGCCGCTCGTGCTGGAGTACCTGCGTGGACTCTGATCATGCCTTAGTACGCCGTCGTTTCTCCATGAACCTTCCCGGGAGGCGGAATCAGACACAACGCAGGTGCACTGATACAGAATAGGACTCGCCGTATGGCTCGTTGGGCGGAACACTTTCAAATTCAGTTCGGTCCTCCCCCAGTTCCCTGACCTCTTCCTACTCGGGTGATGTAGGACGAGCCATGGACGGTTAGTTTAGAGCCTCCGTCGGAGGCCGAGGTCCGAAGCACCATCACAGCCCTCAATCGTTATTGTGCCGTTGTTCCGGATTCCCTCCCACCTGCACTATTCAAGGATGGAGGTGAGGTCCTCTGCAAAGCACTGACCTCCCTATTCGAACGTATCTGGAAAGAAGAGAGTGTCCCGGCTAACTGGTGTGGATCGATTATAGTGACAATCTACAAGAAGGGTAGCCGCATGGACTGTTCTAAACACAGAGGTAATAGCCTAAAGCTAGTTACGACAAAATTACTTTTCTCGATTCTCGTTCGTCGCCTCACAGTGGAACGGGAATCTGGGATTAGCGAAGAGCAGACAGGTTTCCGCCATGGTCGTGGTGGTATAGACCATATATTCACTCTGCGGCAGGTGCTAGAGCGGCGCCACGCATACCGCCGGCTGACAATAGCTGTTCCTCGATTTAAGGCGTGCGTTCGATTTAGTCGATCGATGCATTCTGCTCGAACTACTTGCGCGGAAAGGTGTTCCCACGAAATATGTGAACATCCTACGTACTCTATACTCGAACACTACAGGCCGCGTCAGGGTCTACGGTGACCTGTCGGATAGCTTTCCGACCACAAGTGGCGTTCGTCAGGGTTGTACGATTTCTCCGTTTTTGTACCATTTCGTCGCGCACTCCGTTATAGTGTGCCCTTTCGGAATTTCACAATGTAGGCGTTGATATCCTACCTGGTAAAAGGTTAGTTGATCCTGATTATGCGGACAATATCATCCTCCTTTTCGACGATGTTGCGGTGGCACAATCAACCCTGAATAGTCAGTCTAGAATGGTCCCACTATTTGATACTCACTTCGCACCTTCGAAGTGCAAAATGTTGCTTCAGGACCACCAGCCACTTTATGACCCCTTGACGCTTGCTAATGAGGAACTCGAAATGGTTGATCAATTCACTTATCTTGGCAGCTGCATCAGCAACGATGGGCACATGGAAACTGACTTCAGCTCACGCATTGTAAAGGCCAGAACTGCCTCCTTGAACCTGATGCGTCTTTGTTGACAGAAGGGAGTTTCCTTCCGTCTGAAAGGCCGTGTATACAAGGCCACGGTGAGGGCCGTTCTGCTGTATGGTAGTGAGACTTGGCCCCTTCGGTCTGAAGATCTGAGGCGCCTTTAAGTCTTTGATCATCGTTGTTTGCGAAGCATTGCTGGTGTCGGATGGCACCAGCGTATCCCCAACGATGATGTGCGTAGGCGAGTACTAGGTAGTGATAATCATGCTAGCTCCCTAGAACAACAGATAGCACCGAATAAGTTGCGTTGGCTCGGGCACGTGCTACGCATGCCTGGTCACCGATTACCTAGGAGGGCCTTGTTTAGTCTGCTAGATGTAGAATGGCGCAAAGCTCGAGGTGGACAGAAGTTGACTTGGCAGCGAGAAATGAAGTCACTGACAACCAAACTCGGTGTAGTCGGTCCGTCTCAGCTTCCGGGCTGATGTCCACGTGACTCGCCTTGTGCTTAGCTCGAGAGTTTCCAGGACATGACTTTCGGTCGACACTAGTGCCTCGTATGATGCCATCTCCTATTCGGACTGTCTGTTTAAAATTTTGTGCTGTGTTATTTGCATGATAATGGCTGATTATGATACGGGGTAGTGAAAGCCGCAAGGAAGCTGTCTTGTCGATGCCATCTTGTCTTTGCATGATAGCCAGCTGTTTGTGACGGTATGTTGCCAACACAAGGTGTAGGTGACTTGACCCTGAACCTTTGCTTAGGTCATTAAGATTTTTAGTTAAGTCCTCCTTTTCTCCCTCTTATTACTCTTTATTTCCTAAGTCATCATAGTTGTATGGCAGCGAAGCATCAGTTCAAATGGCTAATGTACTGCTGTTGTTGATTGATTGATTGCTTATTTCATTTGATTTCGCCTGTTTGTTAACCTACTTTTCCTTCAGTTGCGTGCTTTAGAATGTTTTTCCTAACTTTAAGAATGCTACATTATTTGTGTTGTACACCAAGTTCATAGAGCTCTCGTCCCTTTGATGTATTTCCCGTCAACTTTGAGTCTGACCTTTGACTATTTGCTACCAGGTTAATGGAGTTCGGGAAAATTTAGCCAGCGTAATTTAACAGACCATAGAGATTCAGTCAACATGACGTCTATTGAGACTAAACTGCGTGAGTTTAATTCACTTAGTCAACTTTGAGGCGCTGCTCTGCTATGGATCAAGTCACCGTAACTTTTACTGCTTTGGTCATGAGGGTTGAAAACATTGTTTTAGAAAAGAAACGAAGGGAAATGTTTTGCTTAAAATTAATCAGCCGTTCGGAAGTAAACGATTCTAATATTACTAATGAATTTCGATGTGCCGGAAATCGAGTTGTCCATTGTGCGGTACACGTTTGTTTGGTGATCATCCCACCGTGTTCATGTATTGAATTTGCAAGTGGATCATTCTCCGTGTTCTCGTTTTCGCACCTTGTTTTTTAACTTGAATGAAGAGATGGTGGGCCTACGTTAGCACACTTCTGTGGCCGCGATGTCACACTTTAAACCGGAGACATGTTGACTTGCAAATTTGGATAGGATGTGGACCGGAATGTTTGCTGCAAATATGAGTTGGTTTTCAATTGCAGCATTCGATAAACGATTCCTGGCGCATCCAACCAGTGCAATGCGTGTTGCGTCTAAACAGTGCACCTCAGTCATCAGAGTCACAGCGGACTCCCTTCTCTAACACCGCCCCCATGATCTTGCTTTTGTTTACATTTATAAGGTATAGATCCATTAGCTTCTTTCCGGTCCCCAAGTAAACAGAAGATTTGTTTTTTCTTAAACCCCCATTGAGTTTCAATGCCCAACGCAGTTTTAAAGGTCTATTGATACACGCAAACCATTGCAATACACTTTATGGCCTTATGGTGAACAACAGAATAACCACCTAGTTGTTTGGATAGCTGAAGCGTGCCCTGTGCTATGATGATAAATGTGATTAGGCCTAAGCGGTTTGTGGACCAGCTGCCATTTCTCCACTGCGATTGTAAAGACACAGCGAATTTTCTGATGGGCCGGGGACTGACAGTGGAAACAATTCTCGTTTGTTCCGTTTCATGGATATACTTTCATTGGCACTTTTGAAACTCGTTAAGGTAACCAGCCAAACAGATAACTTTGCATGCATTATAGCAGTCTCCTGTCTTCAATTCCTATTTTTCTGGTCAAACATATATATATATATATATATAATGTTTAGCTATGTCGTATCTTGATCTTGCTTCGGGCCTAATTGGAGGTTAGATTCTCCTGTTCGTCATAAGTTTTCTTGTGCATTCTCACGCAGCATTTTTTTCTCTTCAAGGAAAGAAACTTCAGACCTGGAGGCAAAAGTTAAGCATGAACTCTCCCATCTTTTAAACGTACTGGATTCAGCGAACGCTCAACGCCGACAGCTTCTGCGCTCACTCAGTCCAACAAGCATTCGTCCTCGACCGTCACCTTCATCGGCGACAGATGGTGTTCCTGTTTAGAACTGGACCGTGCATGGGCTTCCACTGTTTGTTCTTAGAATCTTGTGCTATATTTGTCACAGAAGCCTACCTCCCTGCACAATCTGTCTTCACAGCCCATGCCTACACTGTTGCCTTTACTTGAGATATTGTGGGATGTAAACAATAGACGTTGTTCTGTGCTCCTCTCCAGCGGAAACATCACTGCGGTGTTTTATGTGTGCGACGTTTTTTACCCTCTCCTTTTGGGAAAGTACCATTTTAATATCTTAGATCTCGATTCAGAGCCTGGTCATGAAGAACTGGCTGTACATAGAACCGCAACTTGAAGCGAAATCCCCTCACCGATAAAAAGCCGTCTAAATGAAATATCAGTTTCGAAGTTCAACTTGAGCCGTTCCCTTAAATCTGCATCCTACATAATTCTGGTGTGTTGGGTTTTTTTAAACTCTGGCACATATAACTCATGTATACTGTATTTGCTGGCAGTGGTTCTAGTAAACCTGTTAACATGAATTGGTGGCTCGCCGCATCAGGCATTGCTCATTTTGATTTTGCTACAAGCGTACGCCAATGTACACTTGCTGCATTGCGTTTTGCGACTGGTTTGGCACTTGTTTGCACTCATCAGGCGGCGAAAGCAGGGAGACTTTCACTCGAAGCCAGGACCTATGGGATGTGCACCGCAGCCTAAGGTCCCAGAGCCACGATGGGCAATGTTTGTCACAATGGTTAGTTATCTGGTTGTTCGGAAACTTGTTTTCTTTTTTGTAAGAAAATGAAGGACGACTTTCTTATAGTGAATATATTATTGAATTATGTATTGTTCATTCTTTACCAATACCTTTTGCCATCTTTCTGGCAGTAGCATGATTCCACACTTGTAATAGGTTTGTTCTTTGCTGGTAAAATAATCCAGGTGATTTTTGACCTCTATATTTAAAATAAAGGTTTTGCTTTCTAAAACATCTTTGTAGAGATGGAAAAAATAATTATCAGAAGGTGCCAGATCTGACGAATTTGGTTGGTGTGACAGTATCCCATCCAAGCTGTAACACTTTTTAGCAAGTTAGCAAACTTTTATAAGGTCTCGCATTATCTTCTTGGAACACAACACCGTTTCTATTGATGAATTATGGCCTTTTCTGTTTAAGTGAATCATTCAATTTGTCCAGCTGATGACAATACACTTCAGAATTGATCACTGTGTTGTCCCGTAGAAGCTAAAGAACGATTCCTTTGAAATCCCACCGAACAGATAGCATCACCGTTTTTGATGAATATCGGCCTTCAATTGATTTTAGCCGGTTCATCTTTTTAATTCCATAATCTCTTGCGTTTAACATTGTTGTAGACAACCCATTTTTCGTCCCCAGTGATGGTGCCTTTCAAATTAAATCATTTTCTTGACGTTTAGAAGCAAATCACAGACGTCAACGCGACAACAGGTTTTTTTCCGTAAAAACATGAGGAACCCTTATGTTGAGCTTTCAGATGAAACTTAAGCGTTTCAAATGATGATGAACGGTCGAATTCAATAAATTTATTCTCTCAACGATCTCACGAGTTGTTATTCGCCGGTTTGCATCAGTTACTGAAAATTCTTTATTAATGTCGGGTCGATATTTTGCAAACCAATTTTGGCACTGGTGTTCTGTCAATACATCTCCAGCTGGCTAGCCGAACAACCTCCACAAGATGCCAACTGGGTGGTTCGGATTAATCCCGGTCTAGCTAATAGTTCGGCGGCACCGTTCCAGGACGTGTTGAGTTTTCGCCTGGCAAGCGTCCTCTCTATAAAAGGCCATAAATGTCTGCTTAACAACACTGTGATGTGGCGCATATGACTCGCGACTAAATAAATGCATTGCTTTTTGACCTACCAGAGGATGTTACCCATTTGGCGAACGTCAACCACTTCAAAGATTTCATCTGGTCCCCCTCCCATATTAGCGAATTCAACCAACACAATGACTTGCATATGCACCCACGTCGTTGGCGGCATCTGATTGCGCATTTGTCTGTCACTGTGGCCAGCCACAGGACGCTGCGCCTACTGTGGGACGGTGGGTGCCTTGCGCTGCACCACCCACAGCTTCATCCACACACCCCATATCCAGTGTAAACTCGAAGGAATAAGACCGGTAAGCATATGGTTGGGAGCCAGCTTTCATCAAGGGAGCTGGCCCACAGTCCTTCACAAGCACGCTGTAGTTGGGAATCAATCGCACCAAGGCGGTGGCTGGACTGTAGTCCGCTCCACACTGAGTGCATGGAACCACTCTTCCAGCCTAGCACGGCCACAAGGACCGTGCCCTCCAGCAACGACCGTCTCCTGGAGCCAGTATGGAGGAGGTAATGGGTAATAGACAGGTAGGCACCTTGTCAACATGCACATCAAGCGCAACCACGCCGGCGATATCAAGCGACAGCCAATCGCTTGAAACGACAATATCAAATAAAACAAATCGGATAATGCTTACAAACATACCGACGTAGCTCATCAATAAATGAGCAAATGAAATAAATTAATTGCCAAAAATCCGCCATAGGTTCAAGACGTCATAAAATAAATCTCAATAAAATGCCACAAAAGCGAAAATGTTATCAAAGTTAACTACAATTAACTTCAGCGACGTGTGCAAGTTGATAAAAGATACTTCACATTAGACAATAATGCGACAATATAGCAAACCCGCCACCTGAAATAAAGAGACCCAGCATACAAGCACGCGGTTAGTAAATCGAATGCAGCGTACCTACAAACGCTGCGTCGGTTCTGCCTACGTTCTCTGTATGACCCGTCCTTGCTTTGGTGTTGGCCTCGCTTACGGTTCACTAGGCCTGTTTGACTCAGGCACTCGCAGCCGCATGTGCTACAGCATCACACGCTCGCTGTCGATGGAGTACAACCCATCGGGGCTTGCTGCTTCCGCATTTTCCGCTTCTCTGCGTGCACGAGGGCTTTCTCTTGCATCTTAGCAACGGCCCTCTTGATCAGATGGCGCCATGCATGTCAATCAGCCGCCTTCGATTCTCATGACCTGCAATTAAGATAAGAACGTGAGAGTCTGTCTCACTTCGATCATGTCCTGGTAACGAAGCTTCGGTTTCCCCACATGCTGCTTCCCAACTCTCAGCTGATCATATAATAGCTGCTTCGGTATCCGCATCGAATCCATACGCCACACCTGACCAAGCCACCTCAGGTATCTCAGCAAAAGTATGCAGTCCACTGCATACATTCCACTTCGGCGCAACACTTCCGTGTCTGCAACTCTGTCGCCCCATCCGATGCGCAGAATCTGTCGCAAACACTTGGTGAAACCGTTCGAGATATCTCACATCCCGACGGTAAAACGTTTACGTTTCGCTGCCGTATAGGAGAACGGACAGCACCATGGATTTGTACACCATCAGCTTCGTGCCAATGGTAAGCTGCAGTACCCTAGCTTCCCGAATGCAGCCGCTACCTTCGCGATGCGGATACGCAGCTCACTGTGCAACTGCTGGTTAGTCGACGCCACACTCTCAAGGTAGCAGAAGTGGGAGGTGGTTTCCCTCACCAATGCTGATTCGCAGCACCACTGTAGATTGCATCTCCGGGGAAGGCTGAAATAGACAGACAGTTTTGCTTGTGTTGATGGTGAGCCCGAATTTGGCCGCTGCCGAAGCCAGAGCGCTAGTCATGTGCTGTAACTCATCCGCGCTGTGTGTAAACAACGCACAGTCGTCAGCAAACAGCAACATACGGATAGTTGTCTCACAGACTAGGGTTCTCGCACCGAAACAACCGATGTCCAGCATGGTACCATCAATACGGTGCTCCATACGGACATCGTAAGCACAAGTGGCATCAAAAGCACAAGACATCATTGCATGAAGGTAAATATTAAACAGGCAGGAGCAATGACACAGCCTTGCTTCACACCAATAACACGGCTGGTGTCGTTCCCTACACTTTACCTGAAACTGACGAGCCGCAAACACCATATTAATGGTGCTGAGACGCGAACCGAATCAACACGGCTCTTCCGCCACGTTAGACTCCACAACCTGACTTACGAGGGGGTTGAGCAGGATTCGGGCAACCACCTTGCCCACACAAGTCAGCAGGTTGATACCACGATAATTGGTGCAACAATGCTTGCTCGCTTTGCCTTTGTACAATGTAGCACAAGAGCATCCTTCAGCTCAGGAGGCACCTCCTCCTCAAACCACACGCGTTGCACCAAGTGGTGCAGCATAGTCAACAACGCGGGTCCACCGTGTTTCAATACTTCAGACGGGATTCCGTAGACACCCGCACACTTGCCGTTTCGCAGCTGAGCAAGTGCTCTCTACATCTCATCCAAAGTCACTGGTGTCTGCCACATGTGCAGCAAATGCTGCATTCTTCTCACACACCAATGCGCCAATTGTCGTAATGTTCTCATCAAACCAATCAGGCCGCTTGCAGCTTGTGAACCCGGTGATCTCCTCGACAGCAGCTGCGACCTGGTCGCGAATGCGGTGCCGCAGGTCGCCCACGGTGGCTATGCATTCCACATCACACAGGCGTGTATACATGGCCTTCTCCAGCTCAATACGCTTCGCAACAGTACCGAGGGAAAGAGTGTTAAGTTTACGCCGATTCACGGCTGGAGTGCAATGCACAGACTTACGCAATTATATGTGCAGTTTGGTCCTCATCAATTTGTGATCAGTGCCACACTCAGCTCCACGCAGTACACGTGTCATGCGCACTTCACGCATATCACGCTGACGTACGATGACAGTCAGTGCAAACCGAGTGTTCGTGACCGTCCGGCCGTGAGTGGCACACAGTGAGAGCAGCCTGTCACCGTTCGCATTCGCTGAACCAATGCCATGCGAACCGATAACATCTGTCCACGCTGATGCATCACATCCAACGCGCGCGTTGAGATCACCCAGAAGAAATAGTCGGTCGCTCCTCGGCACGGAGCATAGCTGAGTGTAGAACTGATCACGCGTGTCATCAGGATAACACATGGTCGGATCGTACGTGCTTATATATGTGGCAAACTTACCTCTTCCGAGTCGTAGGCGAGCAGTCATCAGTCGCGTGCTGATGCCTGTTGGTTCACCCACGAGCTGGCAATGGAGGCGATCGGATATTGCAAATCCGACCCCATGATCACATGGTGCTGAGGCGGCGTTGCCCACCCAGTAGGATGTGTAGCCAGCAACTGCTTTATGCAACTTACCTTGCACAGCTTGCCGTCTCACTCACATACATACGCGCATATATCCAGTATGTACTGGTTGACTTGTAATATTTCTGTACTCTTACTGTTGTTACGCGCTTGTTTTACCATGATCATGCCTTTGAAGGTGTGTCTTGCACTGTCGAGATTAAATCATTTATATACATCCGATAATATGTTCCTTGTATGAACAGCATTTTTACTTTTTCTATAGTAAATATGCTGTAAATGCTGTTTTTCACTTCCTATATTTGAAAGGGCACTAGCCAATAATTCTACGTAAACTCTATCAACTTTTTGCACACGGAAGCCTTGCTACATCCCCTGTCAACATATATAATGATTGTGCGGATGAAGTGTAAAGTTGGTTATTAAAAAATGAAACGAAATTACTTTACGAACAACCTTATATTAAGTTGGTGGGGTGTGGGGCATTTCGGAGACACTTGCTATGCGAACGGATCGCGATATGTAGTCGCAATCTGGACCACGGAACCGATCGTGTAGTACTGCAGTGTTATGGGCGGGAACTAGTTAACATTCCT